TTTCTTGCCTTTTTTAGTTTTATTTTGTTTAGATTTAGTTGAACGTTGTACAACAGTTTCACTGTCACTCGAACTATCGTCGTTGATCGGTTCTAAGAAACCGTTGTTATCAACGATCACGTCGGAATCGTCTTCCTTAGAAAGAGAGTTTTTGAGATTGGCAAAGAAAGAATTTTTCTTGTATTTTGGTTGATCAGACTTGACAGCCTTTTTGTCCTTGTGAGATTGAGATTCGCTCATGTCTTGGTAATCATTATCGCTGTCCATCATAAACAAACTTTCTTCGTTGAGTTCTTCAGAAGAAGAATATCCTGTTTTCGAAGCATTTTTATCGTTAGGGTCCGGCAGGTTGAAGAGTTTTCTTATGTTTGATTTTAAGGCTTCATTTTCGTGCGAGTCTTCAACGTCGTCGTTACCAATGTAATAATCCAGATCATTAGAAAGCAAATCCTTTTCGGAAAATTTTTTTGTCAGATCCCGTCTGCGACGTTTACTAGTTTTTTCGTATTCTAATTCAGCATTCGAGTGCATGAGGTCGTTGTTGTAATTCGGGGTGAGCTTGTAGTTTTCTGGAATACAAGCGGCGCTGTCGACAAAAGACTCTGGTAAAACTAAATTGTCGGGAACAAATCGTAAATCAAGATCATCAATAGAGAAATGAGTAGAAATGCCATCGAGTTCGGAAAAAATAATTTCAGCAGTTTCGACATTTACACATTCAACAATTGCATAATAATACATGGATTTTGCTCTTTCATACGCAAAAGAAATGACTCTATCAGCGGTTTTGAGTGAGCTTTCTTCGTTCTGATCGTCGTGTTGCAAAACCTTGACATCTTTTCCAATAGAAGCAATAATGCGGGGTCCATTTTTTTTTTCGTACGCAATTTCCTCCTTACCGAATTCACTTAAATAAATGTTGACTGAAATCAATTTATCGCTAACTAAGTTGCCGTCTGTTTTAGTGAACTTAGAATCCGCGCAAACACTGTGACAAATTAAATACAAATCTTTGGCATTGATTTCGTTCCACTGACATTTCATAATAGCAATGCGTTTTGAAGAGTCACCATACTCTATTTTTTGATTTAATTTCTCAGAGTAGCACTGGTTAATTAAAGTCGTTTCAGACGTTTCTGACTCAAGTTCATCTTCCTCGAAATCTGAATCTGAAGTCAACGTGAGGTTTTCATCTGCGTTAGTTGTTTCTGGTTCTATAATTGATGACTGATAACTCTCTAATTCTTCGGAGTCCGATTCATCTGCGCTTGAAGGTTGTTCTTCTTGAGAAATTTCGCTAGAGTCGCTGAACTCAACGTTTTCTAAAGGGTCAAAAAGTCCTTCATTTTTTATTTTTTCTCCTGTTCGTATATCTTTATTGTATTCATGTGACAATTCAGTGTTCTCGATAAAGCTAAAATTTTACTTGTGACAAAAACTTACGGCTTGAATCTTTTGTCCAATACGAGATTTTGCTTGAGTTTTTTGGTCATAATTCTACTATGTACTCAGTGAATTGAGCATGAATAATTGGATAAAAATTATGAAGATAAAACATAATTAATTCCTAGAATTAAGTTTTAAGTTTCAGAGCATGTGTAAACAAATTTAAGCCACGTTTCTGTGAGCATTGAGTAAGTGAACTTGTTTTGGCTGCTCGGGACCTAAATTAAAATTATATAATATAAAACTTACATCTTGAAAATATACCATTTTGGTTTTTGGGTCTAAGTGCCCGGTTTTGCTCGGATGGTTACCCTTGTACGCAATAATGGCGGAACTGATTTTGTCTTCGCTACTGAATGAAGAAACTCTGGAAAGGGAACGAGAAACTGGTTGTCCAAAAAGCTCTTGAGGAATAATTTGTTTCTCCGTGTCATCGCCAATTTGTTTGTTTGTCCACAATAAAGCGTTTCTTTGTTCGATAAAGTTAATGCAACTCTCTTCATTCGAAAATCCCAAAAAGTGAGTGATGAAATCTAACTTGACACATTTATAGCATTCTTCAATTGACGCAGCTGACTTCATTCTAATAGTATAATTTATAGCAGAAATAAACCAGTTAAAGCAGTCTAACAAAGGTTTTGAGTGAAGAACATCAGTGTATTTGCCAGAAAGTATGCTATGGTAAAACATTAGCGGATAATCCAGCAAAGCACGTAGATCTTGGCTCAAAGTTTTATATGCGTCGATTGACGTTATTTCGTGCTCAAGAATAAACAAAGTTGACTGATCATTCTGGCATAAGCAAGAAAACATTCCTAAACTTAAAATAAAACATTCTTCAACACCCAATTTCAACTGCGAAATTTTTTTTTTCTTGTCGAGTAAATATGTAGAATAAAATTCGTGAAAATTTTTTTGAAAACTAGAAAAATCTTGTTTAGTCACGTTTACCGAAATGTTGCATGAAATAATTTTTATCATTACGTCATCGAAATCGCAATTAAGATTTCCTTTAATGTAAGCCTAACATAAAATTTAGTTTCGCCAAATACATACCGATACAACGTCTTCTTTGAGATTGCTAAGTATAGAAGCAATCTTGTCAACAGCTTCATTACTATACATAAAATTATTTCGAGCTGCTAAACAAGTATTAAGAATTTCATTAATATTGGTACTCATCGTCTAGTTCATTAAGTCAATTAGTAGACTCGTTATAAGGAAGTTTACAAGTTAAAAATATTATAAAATAAGATTGTCAATTTTGACATTAATTGAAAATAAAATATTGAAAAACTCAAAAAGAAGTAAATTGTAGGAGAACCTCTTGATCAAGACAAAATAATTAATTTGTAATTCGTATAGAAATTTTTTACTAAGAGTATAGATGAAAAATTGGAGGCGTATTTATATATGAGAATTTTTTATTGATAATAAAACTCTTTAAAAAAAGATTGACTTAAACCGATCTAGATAGATGTAAGTTGTATTTAGATAAATGACTAGCTTTTTAGTTTGTAATAGTTCGCTGGTGCACAAAACATTGCACCTAATTATTTATGCCATTTGTTCAAACTACCGATACAACTACTCATTTGAGAGGCAATGCTAATGCAGGTATGTTGCTGATAAACACTATTTGCTGTTTATAACAGAAAACTAAATTTTTTTAGCCTCGGTGTTTTATGAAAAAAATAAATCTCCATATACAAATGCGTATGATACTTTGATGAAGTCTAAGAGAGATTTGGATACAAAATTTGTAAACGACGATTTTGAGTATAGAACAAACATAGATGACCAAATAGATGTAAATAATATTGATACATTTGTTCCACGCGTGGATTCTAATGATGAGTTGTATCAAGAACACCAAGAAACGCAATACAAAAATGACAATGACGATTTTTATCAAGCCGGAGTTACTTATGACCCTAATAGTGGTTTAGTTCCGTTTTTGGACGGAAACTACGAAATGGAAAATAAATACACTGACCAGAATCAAGGTTATACCGCAGATAATAATAATGAACAGGTTGAATTTTATGCAGAAATCGATGAGAATGGCTGTATAGTTCCGTTCACCCGTACTCAAATAGAAGAAAGAGTGTTTATCGCGTATTTTGAAAGTAAAGGACGTTGCTTGTTTGCAAAGGTGCCAATTTATCCAGGTGAAGTAATTTTTGTTGAGGCTCCCGTGCTGGCAGCAACGCCTGAACTGAACCCTGAATTGTATCAAATTCTAGAAGAAATGAATGCGGAACAAGAATTCAACACGGGGCTACTTTGGCACTTAGCCACCCTGCATTGTTTGACAGCGATGAGCGAGGAAGATCAAAACATTATTTTACAGAAATGTGTACACGATCCCAAAGCACCTGCTGACGAAGATGCGTATAGAATCATCGAAAGATTTGGGCTCGATGTGTCTCCTGTATTATATCAAAGGTACATCAACGTCTGGTCCACCAATTCATTCGCGCATCCCGTCAGTGAAAATGGTTTAGTACTATTTGACAAAATTTCAAATGCAGATCATTCCTGTGGGGCTTCAGCTGTTTGGCATTTCCAAACAAACAACACGTTCATTCTACGGGCTAGAAAAATGCTTAAGCCTGGAGACGAAATTTCTATCAGTTATTTGTATGATGGGGACCTAATTTTACCGACGCACAAACGTAGAGAAAAACTACTTTCATGGCGTTTTTGGTGTAATTGCAACAGGTGTAGCGCTCCTGTTGACAGATGCAGAGGATTCTTATGTCCCACTTGCGGATCTGGTAGTATTTTTACTAAACGCGAGTTAGACGAGGAAACTCAAGAAGAATATTCAATGGCCGCCCCATGTAATAGTTGTAATTATCAATTCAGCGTTGATGAAATTTTCTATTATGAAGAGCTTGAAAACGATTACCTAGAAAGACTGAAGCAAATGTCAAAAGATGACGTACTAGACTGCGAAGTGGTTTATGTTGAGGCCTGTAAAGCGTTTAGAAACCACTATGTGCTCTACCAAATTGAAGATATACTGCAACACGCTTATTATGATCACGGTATGTATTTACAATCAGCGATGATATTACAAAAACGAATCGAATTTGTTGCACAAGCATACAACTGCGTTAACTTTACCATAGCTACTCTTTGGGAGGAGCTCGGAGATATTCTAGCTGAATATGCTCGAAACCAAGAAGTGATAGATTGTTTTCAAAAGAGCTTTATTTGCAGAGCGTACGAAAACGCCTTTAATTCATATTGCATATTATCAGGTGAAGACCATGACTACACTAAGAGTCCTCAACTCAAATATCAAGATGCAAACGAAGTAGTTTGGCAAAGCCCACAATAAGTCAAACTATCAATATTTTAGATAGCCAATAGTCACTTATACAGATTAGTGTATTTAATATAATAAATTTATAGCGTTAGGTCGCAGAAAAGCTGTTACTCTGGATAATCGATTTCGCTGGTTAAAGGCTACATGCATATTCACTGGTAAAATAACATGAAAACTTGGTTTTAAGTAAATACACCTATAAAAACACTAACATAGATTAGTTGGTATCTTCTACGATTGGTAATTCTCTTGGTTGTAATAATAATTCACCGAACGAGTTAATGGCTTTTATACCTCTGACTTCATACGGTCTTAATGGCACGGGTATGACATGAAAATTTTCCGAATATAATTCTTTTACTTGTTTTAAATATTTGGACTGTATTTTCCTTCTGGACATGAAATTTTCATACAAACGGTTGTACATAGTATACAATTTAGAGTATTTTTCTTTCAGTAAAACAGCATCTGGACTCGTGGCTTCGATGTTTTCGTCGGTTTCAATGTGCTCCAGGCCTTCAATCGGAAAGATTACCTGGTTTACCACGATGTAACTGACGTCGATTTCGTTGTTGGCCAGCTGAAGAATCAATCGTTCTGTTTCGTAAACCGACAAAAATTCTGGAATACAGACGCAGACAAATGTAGTTCTGGAAGCGTCGCGGAACGTCTCGCAAATGCTGTGGGTTAAAGCTCTAAATTTATCGAGTTGGTTATTTTCGTTAGCGCCGCCATCGAACATTTTCATCATGGAGGAAAACTGAGATCCTAAGTCGCCAAATTTTTCGAAAGCGCTGTCTATCAGTGTAGGAAAGTTTAAAAGTCTTAACGTGTGTCCGGTTGGAGCGGTATCTAGGACGATAACGCTAAAGTTTAAGGATTGAATAAAGTTCATCAGATCTGCAAATCCCATCGCTTCGTCTATTCCGGGGAACGTAGAAAGCAATTCTGGAATGATCGACATCAAACCTTTTTTGTCATCGTCTTCTAAATTATAAGCACTAGACTTGTAGTTAGTGGGATCAGTTTCCATGGCATAGAGATTGTCAAAACCTCGTACTTTCAACGGCTGACTTGTAAATTTCTGTCCGAACGCGTCTGAAACATTATGGGCCGGATCTGTCGAGACAATCAACACGCTTTCTCGTTTTTTTGCAAGTTGAACCGCTAACGAACAACTAGTTGTTGTTTTACCAACACCTCCTTTTCCACCGACGAAAATCCATTCTAATGAGTCGTTTTCCAGTAGACGGTTGAGGGTGGGTTCGAAGAAATAGTCGTCGTTATTCTCACACGTAATCATTATAAATTGATTTAATTTAATTTAGATTTTCTTTTAATATTAATGATTATCTATAGTGAAACTGCAATTTAATATTAACTTAAAATTTTAGATAACAAAATCTCGCTGTTGCATTAGCCAGAATATTCGTACGAACTCATGCAGCAGTCATAAGGCGTCCAATGTAGTAAATCTTCAAATGTAATGTGCTTTTTTGAATCTTTGTCAAAGTTAAGGTGTTCTGGTATGTATAAAAAGAACTCTCCGGTGTGTGGTTCTTTTTGTAACAGTTCGTTTATAGTTAAAGTGTGTTGAATGTCTTTGATATCAAACGCCAGTTCTGCGGCTAGCGCGTTTAATGAGATATTGTTTGACTCGGTAATCGATCTCAATATGTTTTCTTTCCAGAAACTTTCATAGCTGACGCGTCCTAAATCACTTAGTGGACGTTCTGGCGTTCCTCTCCGTTCTCTTCGAAGAGATAAAAGATAAGAAAACGCAATCATAAACTGTCCAAAACCTTTGCGTTGACACTGCGGTAGCACTAAAATACAGCTGACATTGTTATAACTATATTTTTCTCTGGAGAAATATCCTACTATTTCAAAGCCATAATCATTTTTTTCTGTCAAAATATAAAACAAAAACAAATTAACCGGATGTTTCAGAGTTTTATGATCTAAAAAGAGTTTGCTCAGATAGCACAAATTTTCACAATAAACCCGGGCCAATCCTCCATCAACCTCCCACACAGATAGGTTATTGTGGCGATAAATTTCGTTCCCAGGAGGATGCCGTAATGCGCATCTCTGTTTGTGCTGTAATATCTCTGATTCAAAACGGAAAAAAGCCAAACAATATTCGCACAAGTATAAACATTTTGAATTCTGCACGTACTTTGGGTACGGCGAAAAATACCAACAGCTTATTATGTATCTGCCCAATCTGATCAATTCGATCGATTTAAATTTCGTCACTTCGACATGAGACAACAAGTAATTTTTGTCTATACCTTCGTGTCCGTCACTTTCCAAAGACTCCAGATCGTAATCGCTATCTGTCACATCAGTTGTGTATTTTTTGATTTTAGACCATTCCACCCAAGTATCCAATCTTCTGTCGTAGCCTTTCCAATGCAAATAAGCTTTTTGTTGTTCCTGTGTTTCTTCTGATGATTGTAAAAAATCAAACTCGGATGGCACAGTCAGCGCGATAAGAATCGCTTTTCGCCACAAATTAGTTAATTCATCGTAAGCCCAAACAATATCATTTACGTTAAACTGCTTCTAATAACGGTAAATTATCTGTAACTTACTAAAAAATTTGAAGACATTTCATAAATTCATTGTTTCTTATGCTTGTATAGAATGTTTTCTCTTCAATATAAAGAAATTGTTAAATATCTAAAATTGAAATTTAAGTCACTTTAATAACACGTCAACTAAATACAAATAATGTCCAGCCTTCTTAGCTTAGTGGTAGAGCATTCGCTTAGTAAGCGAAAGGTCGCCGGTTCGAATCCGGCAGAAGGCTTGAATTTTTTTTTTAAATTTTTTTTAATGCTAAATTATGCTTAAACAATTAAAACAGCATATTGAAAGTAAAGTAAAAGAAAGATTGTATAACATTCTAGTCGGAAATGATCTCAAGTATTTATTAATCGATGACTACTGTGTGTCCTATCTCGGACACTTGTTAGATTCAGACGAACAATTTTTATCGCAGCTGGGCTACTCTGAGCGGTATCTACTCAAACAGTATAAAAGTTTGATAGATCTTATCAAAGATAACTCTCGGGTCATAATTATTGCACATCAAAACACGCATTTTGAGATTTCGATTTTAATGAGCGAGATAGCTCTGACTGACCGGCGAGTTGAATTTACTATTTGTTTCTTACCGAAACGGCGCTGCTTTGTCGTTGACCAAATCCGAACGAACGTCGCTAGTTTAGCATTTAAGAACAGTTCAGTGTGGAATGACAAAAACAACATGTCATATATAGGAAATATCAGTCTTGTAATTCACGATTTGGAGATATTTTTTTTATTAAAAAGTTCGGATTACATTTATTGCACAAGCAATCACAACGTTTACAAAACTTTGTATATTGACTACAATGTAACTGTTTTGAATAATTGTTTTGCTTCGGTGCTGGAATTGTTTAAATATTTAAACATACCGAATAATTGTCAAATTGTGGGTTGCGGCGCTGATAGTGTTTATCTGTCAAGAAAAATCGAAAATATGTTTAATAAAAAAGATCAAGGGATCTTGGTTGCTGACTCTGAAGCAACAGTTGAGAGACTACACTCATCAGCGAAAAAAATTCTCGATTCAAACAGCAAGGAAAAAAAACCAAAAACTACTGAAGACAACGCCGAATTAATACAACATCTCATGACTACAGTGTTTTTAGAAAACGCTGAACAACAGCAAAAAATGAACTGGTTGAAGATCATTTCATCAGAGTCCAACACCGATTTGTTTAAAGATAAAGTGGAAAAAAGCGATTTGTACATCAGATTGCCGAGTGAAAACGTGAAAGAATCTAGTTTTAAGCTCAACGCAAGCGTCAGCAAAATTATAATTGTCGATCGCAGCATCGATTGGATTTCATTCTTCCTGAGTGGCTTTACATTCGAAAGCTTGATTGACTTGAACTACGAGATAAGCGACTGTAAAATAACAGTGAAGCCGGAAACCATTAATTTGATGCCGAATTCAAAAGTACAGCAAGGCTTATCTAACCAAATAAAAGAAGAGGTCGTTGTGAATTTAGCTATAGACGCTGCTATATACAATACGTTACGAAATTTAGAAATTAGTCGAGTTCCACAGTTTATTCAAAAGATCGCTCTGGAACTTAAAAAAGACGCTGAGCAGATCGACAAAGTAACTGTGGATCTGGTCGACAAAGTCAAGACATGTAAAATAAAAGAAGAAATACTAACGTTTTACTATGATTTGACTAGCTACATTATCAAAAACCTTTTGAATTCCACCACGTATGACAGAATTCTCCAGTTGGAGTCTGAACTGTTGTTAAAAGCCATGTCGCAAGACTTGGCTTTTAACAAAATAATGATTTTCGTTTGGCAACAGGCTTCGTTGTGTGATGCCATTCGATTTTTAATAATATATACGTACGCATATGGACGGCTGCCGACAGAAGAACAATTGAAGGCATACGAGTCTGCCATTCTAGCGATTCACGGCATAAACGGGATTTATGTTTTTAAATGCGTCATGGAAATGCAAATTTTAGAAATGGTAGCCTGCAAAGAAAATGTTAACTCGGTATCGAGTTTTTTTAACAAAACGTTGACGTCGCTAAAACTTACAAAAAACATTGCGCCGAAAACCAGTGAAAAAAATAACAATCTAGATCTGTTACAAGCTGAGCTGGTTAAAGAGTTGTACCGCAAAGTGCCAGTAAACAAAGAATACCAGCACATACATTCTGAAACTTGTTTGCATCTCATAGACGTTATAGATTACATTTATAAAGAAGCAGAGGGCGAGCTGCCTAAAACGTTCGAAAACTCAGAAGTGTTTCGAAATATCAAAGTGGAATCTGCCAGTGTCCATGCAGGCGAAGATTTTGTGCTTCTTGTGTTTCCTCACTGCATAAGTTATTCAGAGATTGCCGCGATTGAATTTTTTAAGCAAAAGTATAAACTCAATTTGCTCGTTATTGCGAATGAAATATGCGGATACAGAACGTTCACCAACTCGTTGTGCAAAGAGTTGCCTTCAATAAAGGTTAGCGACAAAAATGACTACCAAGGTTGTCGCACTGTCGATAGAAACACATATCTGGAAGAGCTTGAACAAAGTTTTTTTTAACTTCTTTACTTCATGTTTTAAGCAAATCTGGAATTGAAGACTGCGACGAAGATTTGGCAAATATGACTGATTCTTCGATTACGCAATCTTTTTTATCAGCGCTGTAATAGCCTTTCAACACTATCCGCTGACTTCCTATGGCGATCTGAAGCGCCTTTAGCAATTTGCATTGTCTGATAGACAAAACGTCGCCCTTCTTGCACACCTCTAAGTCTCCTAACAAAGATAACTTTGCTTCGTACAGTTTTACCGGCATCTCTAAATTTTTGAAATAGGAATACAGCGAAGAAGCAAAGTTGGCTGCTTCGAACTGCTGTTCAGTGACGGTGATGTCGTAGTTCGACACATGACCTGGCACGGCGTAAATGTTTTCGTCGTGGTGCTCGCTGAAAATGGCTGTGAGCTCTTCTAATGTTTTGTTGGTAATCAAGAGTGACGTTTTATTTAAAGCGTTTGCACCCAGTTTGTATAAGTTGGGCTTGTAGCTAGTCTCAACATTTACTCCGAGGGCTACTTGTAAGAGCCGGTTTTTGCCGTTAAAAATTATGCCTGGTTTAATCGCTTCACGAATTTGTTGCAGGGTGTAAGTTTTGTAATTCTCAAAGACAAATAGGTAATTGTAAGTGAAAACATTGCAATTTTTGCGAATGATTTCAATTTGGTTGAGTTTTTTCTCTGGAGTATTGTTGGACTTTGTAATACTGACAAGAACTGGTTTTGCCCTTTTGGATTTTGCCATTTTACGTATACAATGTTGGAGTTCTCTAAACCCTAATTGAAAAAATTTAGCAAAAATTTAATATATTTAAAGAAAAAATTTTTGCTGTGGCTGGGCGAAAAATACAATCAGCGTTATAAAATATATATTAAAAGATAAGTGCATAAAAAGCGTAAATTTAGTGTTCAGCATGTCCAACATACCTGGGAAAAGGAATGACGTCGCGGATGTTTCGAATACCTGTGCACAGCATAATCAGCCGTTCGAAACCGAGCCCAAAACCTGAATGAGGGATTGAGCCGTATCTTCGCAAATCGAAATACCACTGTAAAGGTTCGATGGGCAGATTTTTGTCGTTGCACTGCTTGGTCAGCTGTTCGATAGTTTCTTCACGCTGTGATCCTCCTATAATTTCACCGATACCCGGAACTAAAATGTCCATTGCTCGGACAGTTTCTTTACCTTTTTGTTCACCCTGGTTAAGTTTCATGTAGAAAGCCTTGAGCTTGTATGGATAGTTATAGACAATCACTGGTTTTTTGAAATGTACTTCTGTCAGGTAACGCTCGTGTTCGCTTCCAAGGTCATCACCCCACTCAGGCGAAACCTTGAAATTAGGGTTTTCAATGGCTTTCAAGATTTGGATAGCCTCAGTGTAAGACAGACGCACGAAGTCTTCTTGAGCGGTTTGGTTAAGGAACGCAGCTAGATTTTCAGAGCCGTTTTCTTCAAGTAGTTGAATGTCGTCGTGGCAGTGTTGAATGACTTCGTTAACACAGAACTTGAGATAAGCACTGGCTACTTCTATAAGTCCATCTAGCTCTACGAAAGCCATTTCAGGTTCAATCATCCAAAACTCGGCTAAGTGGCGTGAAGTATGCGAAATTTCAGCTCTAAACGTAGGACCGAACGTGTAAACGTCTCCCATGGATAAGCAAAAATTTTCAAGTGCTATCTGACCAGACACTGTGAGAGACACAGGTTTCGAAAAAAAATCTTTGGAATAGTCGATTTTCTGGTCCTTTGTTTGCGGGATTTTAGAGATTTCTCCAGATTCGGGCAACAAAGTGGTCACTTGAAACATTTCTCCAGCTCCTTCGCAGTCTGCTCCAGTGATCAAAGGAGTGTGGATGTAGTAAAAACCTCGTTGTGAAAAAAACTGGTGTGTGGCGTGAGAAAGTCTGTCTCTAATACGCATGACCGACTGAAACTTCTTGACTCTAGGACGTAAGTGTTGAAAAGAACGAAGTTTTTCATCAGAAATAACGTTCTTCTGCAACGGATAACAAGATGATGATATGATGTTGTAAATAATGATTCGGTACTTTGAATCTCCGTTTACAAACATTTCGACCAATCCTTCATATCTCATATGCTTTTTAACAAGTCCTGTGACGGATATAGAGGAAGAAAACGTCAATTTCTTCACGTCTTTCGCTAGTTCCTCGCTCAAGTCGCTAGTATCTATCACTATTTGCAAATTTTTTGGAGTTGTTCCGTCGTTTAAGTTAACAAAAACAAGCCCTTGTCCTTGTTTGCGAGCTGACTGCACCCATCCATTCACAGTAACGATTTGATCAACGAAATTCGATGAAATGGTCAAATCACACAGCGCAGAAATACGAGTCGCATTAGCCGCAGTTGTTGTTAATTTTTTGTACTCTATTTTAGAAGCTAATGCGCCTGTTTGACTTGTTTTCGTCATTTGTGTAAATTGTAATGTATTTTAAATAATTGGATTTAATAATTTTCATTTTCAAATGTCTTTATAAAATAATTTTCGACTTCTGAAATAGACAAAATTATGAAAGTGGGGTGATCTTTTGTGACTACGCCGATTTCGATTTCATTTGTGTTTAATTGAGCTCCAACAATTTCTGTCATTGCCCTAATAGCTTTGATCATAGTTTCGTCTAGAGATTTGGGAATGCCGCTTTCCAAGGCTTTTTCCAGCGCGTTTGTCGCGATAGATTCTTTAGGTGTAATGAAAGCTGCTTTGTTTTGAGTGCAAATACCAGCAGGATCAAACTTGTATATCTCTGGGGTTCCAAGATCAAAGTTGTATGTTACTAATATTCCACCTAAAATTATTTCATTTTTTTACTTACTGCAAGCTTGTAACCTCATGTATGCATATTGCGTGTAAACCTGATTGGCATTTGCAATTTTTTCTGCAAGTACGTTTGCCGGAATTTCATATCCATTTTTCATCAAAAAATCACATGAATAATCAACAGAACGCAAAAAAATATTATTGCAATCTGCTTGACGCCCAACCAAAACTCCTCCTATGTTTTTTGAAAAGGACTTAAATCTCGAAATCGAGTCAGTTCGAATCAACTTGCTCTAAATAGCTGTAATACATGATCAAACTTACTTGTGTAGCTTCGTCAACTCCAAATGTTTTTTGTGAAATAATCACAGCACAATCGGTGCCTTGCAACGCAATTGAAGTGATGTTTGTGTTTTCAATTGCCCGAAATACATACTCTAAAATAATATAAGACCAAATTACTTACCTATTTGAAAAAGTTTACCTTCCGGCGAAAAAACTGTAATTATTCGGTCGTACCCGGATGATTCGTTCCTGGACATGCCTTTATCTGTTTTTTAATATACACGATAAAGTAGGTATATTTTTATTTATAGGGAAAACAATATAGATTATTTTTATTTAACAATATGCGAATATTTAAAAATATTAAACAAATAAAACTAAAGACATGAAATTCATTTTACAAAATTCGAGTTTAATGAGAATAAATTAGGAAAACCTGCATAAGACAAATTTCTGTTTTCCAAAGCTTAAAAAAATAAAAATATTGTTTTGTGAACAAGAGTACAGTCTTATTATTAGATGCGTTTTGCATATTGATTCGTTATGAAAGAATTATATAAAAGTTAATGATGATAATAGATCACGCTTCCAAGCGTGGATTTTAAACATTTTCGAGCTTGTATTCTTACAGCTTGCACGAAAAGCATTAACAAAGTTGATTTCGACGGTTGTATCTAGGCAGATCCATACTGACAATTATTTGTTAATTTTTAAATATTTAAATTAACTAAAAATTTTCTTCTCAGTAGATAAGCAAAATCTATTGGGATGGGTTGTTAACGCTTTATGTTTTTTTCAAATAAAAACGCCGAAAATGATGAAAAGGTCAGAAAATTGGCGAAGATGCATTACAATGCCGTTCTGGAGGAATATCTCTGCAAAGAAAATATAAATGAACAGGAATCTCGGACAATGACAGATCCGCTGGGAATATTTGCAGCTTATATCAAAAAAGTATGCTGCGACGTCACGCTTATCTCGAAGATAAATATTAAATCTGAAAAAAATCAGTTGTTTAATATCAGAGTGTTGGTTGTACACCAGTACAAAGAGCCTATTTCGACATATTTGAAAGAGTACAGTTTATATCTAGCGAATGACGAATCTACTTGTGGATTGCTCGGCATACGACTTAATAGCAATGTGCTTAACCCAACAACTGCATTTGAAGTGGGGAGTTGGTATTACATCACGAGTGTGAAGTCGTTTGGTTCGGTGGGAGTGGGAATTCTGACGCTCACACACGAGTCAAAAATCACGAAAATCCCAAACTGGTATTCAGGCGAAGAAGCTCCAATTTTTGGGTGTCCGAGAATTGTCATAAACAGCGAAAGTCGGTGTTAGTCACGAATTACTAGGTAGAATCGTTTGTACGCGCTTTCGATATTATGAGTTGTTTAATATAGTATGTGACAGCCTTTGTAGAAGCAAGTAAATTCATGAAATGCACGTCAGCAATTGCGAGACGTTTCAAACCCAGCCAGAATGATTCCCAAAAATATTGTTTTTCGTTTGGTTTCATTTGATCGTACTGTTTGAATGTAAGCGAGCAAAGCTTTTGCATGATGTCGTGTTGAGAGTCGATGCTGTTTTTGGACGTATAGAGGTTCGAAATGTTATTGTTAACGAGCAAAACGTACAGGCGTTGAGATTCTTCTCGCATTGAGTGAAACTTCGCCAAATACGATACGGCTTGCAGTAGACTCTTTTCGTTGATACTTGATACTTGCAAAAGTTTTAGAGACACGTTGCACGAATTCAGACTCGTGACCAAATTGTCCACAAAATTGATAACTATTTCAGAAATCGAGTTGTATTTTTTTGAAGAAGACGATATGCTTCTTTTTTTTTTATTTATTTTTTTATACAGATTGGACGTAGTTTTGGTTTTCAATGATAAAAAAGTCGAGTCTTTTGATTGTTGAGACATATAATTTTCGATAGAAAAATAAGTGCTGCATAGCTGATAATACATGATTCGTATGGTTTTAAGTGCTTCATGATAAATTTTTAAATCAATCTTGGACGAAGAACGGATTGGAAACTCGTAAATAATAAATTTCAGTTGCTGAAGCTGGATGTTAATGGTCTTTCCCGCGTCTTGCAAATTGGCCCAAATTCGAGCCTTGTTGTTTTCCCACAATTCGTAGTTTAACAGTTTTCTCTCTTTCATTTCGAGGCCCTGTTTTGTCAGTCGGACTTTGTGGCTGATGTCTTCGTCTATTTCTAGTAGGCCGGCTTGTATTAGCAGCAAAGGTTCAATTGTATTGCTCAAATTGTTAAGGATGTCGCTTAAGTTGTTGACGCAGTCAACAGTGTAACGAACCGGAAAAATCAGTCTGGAAACAATAAGCGACGCAATCAGTCCGATAAAAAGACAAATAAATCTGGTTATAATGCTTTTTATGGAATCTGCCGAAAATAAAGACCCACCAAGAATCAAAGGAGTGTAAGAAATAGCACTTCGAGTTAGTGGAAGCAAGGTTTCCGAGTAAGCCGCAAAAGCGTTGTAAAACAACCCAGACAAAGAAACTAAAATGTAAATCGCCAGTCGAGGCTTCCAGGAATGATCATCGAGCTGCTTTCCAGTCAAACAAAGACGTACTATGGAGACTACCACAAGACATGCCATAGACAAACCAAGAATCTGAAAGATTGCATTGTGCATAGTCGTAGCCAGACTAGTATTGAGAATGGAAGTGGCGGACGACACTATCCACCTAGCATGTCCGTGAAAATACGTTATGTTCAGCTTAGAACTACAGCAAATCCATCCCGTGGTCAAAACTAAAGTTGAAATCTGGATGCCGAGTTTCCAGTCATCGAGTCGTTTTGGAAATTTCAGAGACTTCAAAACGTGGAGAAAAGACATTAATAATTACAAAACCATGGTCTGTACCAATAAAGTTACATTTAATAAATCAGGCACAAGGTACTACTCAGTTGTATGCTGATTATTAAGCTTGTTGGGAATGTTTTGCTTTTTATTATTATAAATATTATTATTTTTACCTGCCGTCAATTTATTAAATCCCAAATTATTGGATTTTAACTGATCCAACAAAAGTTTGCCGTCAATTGTTCTAGAACCGACATAGGCAATAGAAAATTCATATTTGCAGATAATTTCTAAAAGTTTTGCTGACTCTTCCGTCAACTTAAGAGGAGCATAAAGCTCGGGACAGTCTTCAGGCAGTTTTTCATTTCCTACATATTTGCATATATTAGCTCCTATGTTTTCGAAGTTCTTAGCGCACGTTTTATAATTCACACCTTCATCATTTTTGTCGATAAAATTAAATCTTGTATCGCAATCTATTTCGAACCTGTACGCGTCGATAGGTTCAATAATGCTATGCACACTTTTACAGTTAGTGTCGACTTGTGTGTCAGTGGAACAAATCAACTGGTATTTGTCGTGTTTATATCCTTCTGGACATCTCATTTCGAGCGATTCACTTAAACTGCAGTCATACGGTGCATTGCACAAAAAACTAAAGAGTTGACGGTCTGCGAGGGAAGCTTTTTTTAGTTCATACACGTTGTTACAATGACCTTCGTAACTGTCTGGTGGAATGCATAGCCCGTTTCGATTTACCCAACGTTGCGGGCAAACGAGCTCATAAATAGGGGAGTATCCGTTTGAACACAACAATTCTTTACATGGATAAGTTGCTGACGAACATCGTTCGTCTATCGATAATTTTGTTTTGCAATTGCTTGCAGCAAAATCCCGTGCGTAGCAATAATTACCTTGTCTATAATAACCTAACGCACACGTGTCAACTGCGATTTTGCAATATTGCAAAGCAGAGCCGACTCTGCTGCTTGCAATCGTTGCTGTTCTTTTTTCTAACTGTTCAGACGCAATGCTAGTTTGAAACTTAGTGACGTGGACGCCAGAGTTATTTAAAATCTCAGAAGTTTTGTCAATAGGGTTTTGGTTACTGGTCAACCAAGTTTTAAAATTCTAAAATTTACGATTTTATTTTCTTACCAGACCATTAGTAGCTGAAAAAGTGGTCTCTTCTGCCTCAATTAAATAAATGTCATATAGTAAAAATTTAACCAAGCATTTATAAAACATTTTTTTGTTCGTGGATCTTCACAGACATGCTGGTTTGAAACCAAAATCACGGATTAAAATAAATAATATTAAATAAAAAATTTAAGCTGCTCTTTGTCGCTTGATGTCGAATGAAGAGATTGAAAGTCTAAACAACTCAATTTCGGACGCTAAAAATTCTGAATATAGCAGAGAACTACTAAACAAAGTTCGAGAATTATCCGAAGTTGTTGTAGTTAATAAAACAATTGAAAACAATGAAGCCATTGCGCTAGAGTATTCTGATAGCCCGTCAGAAAACGATACTGCCACTGAGTCTGATTATTCTGACACGAATCCGTTAGACGATAGGCTGGTTGACGCACAGTTTGAACCAGAAAATTGTGATACGGAAATCAGTTTATACCCTGAAATCGGCGACTCGTCTGTCAACACTATTTTGGAAGAATTCAGAAACAAGGTTGCGCAAAACTGTGGCAAACCAATTGTTTCCAAAGAAGAACACATCAAACTATTTGAGTCTCTCTTAGAGAAACTTTTGTTAGAAACTGATGAAGCTATTTTTAGAGAGCTGTTATGGCTTCTTTCAGACGATGAAAACGAACTGATCATTAAGCTGATCAATGAAAAACAACAAAATATAATATTATGCCGGTATTTAGTCTCTAGGTTAAAAAATCTAGATACTGAAACGGCTTTTCCTCTTATTTTAGAACCTTTTCAAGGCGTCATCCAAGAATTTATAAACTCAATAGAGCCAGTTAACGCTACACCAGAAGATTCAAAATTAGAAATTCAGCATAAGGAAGTTCACTATGCAGAGAGCAAAAATATAGTTTTGCCAAGCAACTGCGTTCGCAAAGATTACGAATCTTATGTCGAAATATGCATTCCTGTTTCTGAAAATACAAACGATAAGCAGAAGAGTTTTATCAAAGCCCTAAACGTGTTTGATGTGTTGCCTAGCTTTGCACATGTATATTTCGAGAAACGCAGCATTAAATATCTAAACTTAGTTCAATCGACAGTTTTCGACACCATATTCAAAACTAGCTTGAATAGCTTAATCTGTGCTCCTACAGGTTCTGGAAAAACTTTAATTGCTTTACTAGCAATACTTCAAGTAATTTCTAAGCATTACAATGAAGCTGATAAAATACTTGGCACTGATCAGTTTAAAATAATATATATCTCTCCAATGAAAGCCTTAGTTGCTGAACAGATCAGATATTTCCAAAATTTGTTTGACATTCTGTTCGAAAGCTCTAAAGGTGCCATCAATTTAAACGTCTGTGAGATGACCGGAGATTTTTCAGTGGCAGAGTCTAGTTTACATAATTATCAACTTTTGATTTGCACACCAGAAAAGTTCGATATTATGATGCACAACTCTAACGAAAGAATGTCCATGGCCTTAATTCAATTAATAATTTTCGACGAACTTCATTTACTACATAGTCCCAGAGGGCCAGTCTTAGAAAGTATTATTACTAAGTTCATTTTTCAAAAGAAGCCCGTACGACTTATTGGTTTGTCTGCTACGCTGAAAAACTACGACATTGTTTCGAATTTCCTTGGTATTAGTAAACAAAAATTAAACGACTCCATTAATATTCGACCAGGCCTTTTTGTGTTTGGCGACAATTTCAGACCGGTTCCATTAAACAAAAAACTTATTTGTTACAATGACGATAAGGATGAATTTGATCTGTTTCTGAACACAGTACTAACATACGTCAAAACTAGAAAGCAAATAATTGTTTTTACGCACAGCCGCGCTAGTACATCTGAAAGTGCAAGCGCATTATATGAGAACTTAGTTAAATCAGGAAGAATCTTAGATTTTTTTAATGGAAAAATTGAGAACAATCCTTTCAGTGAGTTTCTAACCGAAAAAAGCGCCAATTTCGAAGACAACACATTGAAAGTGTTGGTTAAATACGCTATTGCATTTCACCACGCGGGTTTGTCGAGAAACGATCGTGACCTCATCGAATCAATGTTCTTTCAAGGCCACATCAAACTAATTTGTTGTACAAGTACTTTAGCTTGGGGAGTTAATTTGCCCGCTCACACTGTTATCATTAAGGGTTTGGAGTACTACAATTCAGACCAAAAAAAAATTGTTGAATTAAACGACCTCGACATACTCCAAATGTTTGGAAGAGCTGGCAGGCCGCCTTTTGATAAAACGGGAAACGGAGTCGTCTTAGCTTCTAAGAAGTACTTGTATAAGTTAGTTAGTTTATTACTGAGGCAGAATGACATATTGTCTAAGTTTGACGCAATGATGACAACAATAGTTAACGCTCATATTCACTTAGAAACTATAAACAATTTATCAGAATTAATCAATTTCTTGAAATGCACTTATTATTATCAGTGTCTACTAGAGTTTCCAGAGCATTATGACGTTGGAAAGAAAATTTTCGCCGTACAACCCCTTCCTACTGGAGATGCATACAAAAACTTAGTTTCGAATATGGTAAACGATTATCTAAAAGACCGATCTGTTAACGTGTGTTTTGAACTGGTGAAGTTCGGTTGCATAACATATTCAAGCGAGACTGGTGCGCTATCTTCAAAATTTCTGGGTGGCATCTCAGCAAAATACTACTTTTCGCCCAAAACTATATTTTATCTTTACGGATTGGCTGAAGAAAATCTAACACAAACATGGCTACTTTGGAAACTAATTTCTTCCCCCGCATACGAATCAGAACAAATTCACCATGACGAAATCGAGTTCATCAACAGTGTTAAAAATGATATCCCAATCCCTTTCCTAGTAGAGATGAAGGTACCTAATGCTCTAACGCGAATTTGGGTAATTATTCAGTTTTATCTTTCTCAAAAGCAGATTCCCTGTGCATCACTCCGCTCTGATACGCAAAACGTGGTCAACATTACTATTCGTCTATGTATTGCTTTAAAACAGATTTGCTTAAAAAATGGCAAATATAATCTATTTGTTCTCGCAAACGAACTGTATCTCGAACTGAAAAATCAGCAGTGGTCTTGCATGAATACGATTCGGCAGTTCAATAACTTCAGTCAGAATGATTTGGCAATATTGGATAACACCAACTTGGATTTTTCCACTATGAGCTTCCAGGAGGATGCAATTGCAAAAATCGAATCTTATTTCCCTTACTCTAATCAGTTGCAAAAAGAAGTTAGTATTGCATGGATAATGATGCCAAAGCTACACGTTAATGTGGCTGTTTATCCATATGATGCTTACTACATAGTTATCAAATTTGATTTGTTTTTAGAAGTAGATTTACGAAACTTATCGTCATATAGCTATTATATATTAATAAGTGATTCCGAAGAAGAACGTATTCTCTCGATGAAACACATTGTTATTAAAACCCACGAATTAAATAGACATAAACAGCACTATCAGTTTCTAAAGTTAACTGATTTTTCAGACGACTTTTACATTTGCCACGTGATTTCAGATCAATATTTACTTCCGGAGTTTAGACAGCTGATAAACATAAAAGATATATTTTTCCCTCAGTATGACAGTCTACCAATAGAAAGCTTAGATTCCAAAAACGATTTCAACTTAAAACAGTTTCCCAGCGCTTATCGTTACTTGAAACTCATTTTCAAACGAAGAACTATCAATCTTAACAATTTGGAGTCTAAAACTTTTGAGATTTGTCTAAATAATTCAGAAAACTTTGTGATTCTGGCTCCTTCCATGGAATACATGAATTTAGTAATTAAATTGTCGACTGTCCAAGCGATGGTAAAATCAAATGCGCCTTTAATAGTCGTTGTTTGCGCGGATGTCGACAGTTGCAAAAATTATTTCGAAAAAACCGTTGAAATTTTCATTGAAACGTTTGGTTTACAAGTAATGTATTCACAGACGCAAAGAGAAGAATTTATGGCTTTATTCGTAAACAAACACATTGTGTTCCTTTCGTATAAAATGCTATGTGCAAATCTACTAACTGATTTTTTTATCGATTTAGCAGAAAAGACGTCTCACTTTTTGTTCACAGCAATCGAACCGCTACAAAAAAATATTCAGTATGAACTTTGCGTTTTTCATTTAAGGAATTTACAAAAAGAAGGTTTCATATTTAGAATTGCACTTCTAGGGTTCAATACCACCGCAATCTCGGTATTGGGAAACTGGTTAGACATTACTGACAATAACCTTCAGTTAATTCCAATTGACTACTATCAAATGAACCAACATGTAAAAGTTTATTATACATCGAGACATTCTGTAACGAGCTTGTTTGCTAGTTTTGCACATAACTTTCAGACCATTATGGAAGAGTTTTCAAAAGCTGACAAGTTTCTGGTTGTTTGTGAATCATACTCTTCTGCAGTGTTTTTACAAGAACTTCTTGTTTATTTATTCGGTTTATATAAAACGTGCTTGATTAGAGACTGCAAAATCAACATGATGAGCCAAGCACCTGAACTTGAAGAACACAGTATCAACATCATTTTTGATGTTAACGACTACCGGCTACTTGCTAAATCTGACTTTGTATTATTCTTTTTAGAAATCGACGAAAGGAGTGTTGAGTCTAGACGAGACGCACATTACAAATTGACTCAAATACTATCTACCGCCAAGTATAATCAGAAGTTTTATTTTTTCACTTCAGACGAGATTAAGTATTTATTTGAAGAAGCAACTCACATATCGACGCCGTTATTCAGCATTCTTTTACAAGACATCGATATTTGGACACTTTTTGTGGTTGTGCAATCTCGCGTTGCATCCATAGGTGATATAATTGAAAAGTTCGAAACTACTTTCTTGCTTTACTCATTAGAAAATAACCCAAACAAATATGGACTAGAGTCTCCCGAAGATTTGAAGATTTCTGAATTTCTTTCTGATAAATTAGAAACCAGTCTTGAAACCTTACTCGCGAATGGTTTGATAAATAGTGATGGTGAATTTGAGTTTATCACTCCTACAAATAAAGGCAGTTTTATTATTAAAAATACATATCTCTGGACATATTTTGAAGCATTCGAAGCTCTTACCAAAAACGATAACGATTTGGTTAGTTTTTTGGTATGTTTAGCTTCATGTTCATCAATCAGAGCTTCAGCACTTAAAACTTTAGAACGCTTGAATTTGATAGAAAATAAGACTAAATTTTCAAAAACCGTTACTGCGCTTTATCATTACGTCATTGAAGATAAATCCAGTGATATAAACTATGTGTCGGCTATCAATATAAACGCTGATGTTAGCAGTTTCAATTTAATCGTACTGATCATTTCCACAATGAGCATTGACAATCCAAACTTGAGCAAATTTAGCGAGTTGTTTTCTGAATTTCGAGAAACGTTGCTTACCTTGTTGCATTTCGCTTTTCAGTATGCACCGTTACTAGACGATGATAACTTTACATTTGAAATAATCAGATTGTATCAAAAAGTTGACACTAGAACGAATATTTTAGCAGACAGTCGTAAAATTGCGTTAAACAGTTTATTTACTAATTTTGAAAATAAACCACTTATAGTAGAACTTAACAAACTTGGAATTTCGACTGTCACAGACTTGGTTAACTGCAAAAATTCTAGATTGGACGAAATTTTATCGAGTTATGACGTTAATCTGAATGAATTAGTGTCACGATTACCTAGTTTAGCAATATCAGTGTCCAAGAAATTAAATTCATCCAAAGATAATAGACTTTCAACTTTTCTTGAAATAATGTTCAGCCTTCAAAAGAACTGTAAGGAGCATACAAATTTAACTACTGAAAACAAATTTTTCATTCTATTTTACGTGAACAATAAGTTGGTTTGTAATAAATTTCTTATGATTAATGATAGCTCAGTTTGCATAGCTTTACAATATGACAGCGATAATGATTTCAGTAATACACATCTTAAAATATTGTATTACTCGAATCAAATAGTAGATTATTGTCAAGAATTCAATGTCGTGATTTGAAAGCGTAAGCTATGAGTACACTATATATTTAATATCGAGCAACGCTCGCAATGTATATACGAAGTTTACATTAACTATTTATTTCGCAACAGTCTTGGCCTCCCTCGAGGTTTATTCAACGATAAAAGTATAGCAAGTATGACACACAAATGTTCAGAGTTGACATCTGGAATTTGGTCGAGTGGTATGTGATATGCCCCTGGAAACGTTTCTGAAACTATTTTTGCCGCAGCCAAAGCGACTGATTTACAAGAGTAAGGCTGCAATACTTCTTCTTCATAGCTTTCGCCGTTATTTGCGTTTAAGACGTTTAAGTTATCTTCTTTTACGCTCGGGAGAATATTTATTTGTGGATCGTTTTTCTGTGTAAAATTTGAAGTGTTTTTTATGGTAGAAGAATTTTGTGGCACATCCTGAGTCCACGCTTCCGTATAATTTGCATTATTATAATTCATTGCCTCAAAAGGCTCTAGGTATTGCAGTTCTGTTGGTTGTAGAAAATAATTGTACATCTAGTTTAATCGAAAAAGTATGTAGTTATTGCATGCATTGACTTTTTTATAACAGCAGTGAAAGCATAGTATGCAGGTTTGCATGTAGTAAAGCAGAACATAAGACCGCAAAAGTATTATTTAAACCATTTTATAAATTAAAATTTTTAACTTCCTTTATTTAGCATAATGTATGACAACGTTGGTCTGAAAAGCTATCGAGGCACGGGCAGCAGTTGTTACATCCAACGAAATCGGTCTATTGTTCACGAAAAGCCAAAAATTCAAGACAATGTGGACAAGAAAACAGATGATAAAGAAACAGTAGAAGTCGTTGCGTCTAGCACTTTATTGGAATACAACTTGAAACGAAAAAAATTTATCAACAAGTTGCGTAAAAAAAATTTACACAATGAAAAAGAAAAAAGTAAAAAATATAAAGACATAACCAAAATAAATAAACGAAAATCGCGTTCAACGCCTGGTCACGGCAGTGATATGGATAACAAACAATGTTTAACAAGTAAAGACGATCAAAAATGTGAACAAGAAAAAAGGAATTAAAAACTTAGTTTGCCCGTATACTAACGTATATTGTTAGCATGTAAAAGATGTTCATTCATGATACTACCACTTTGCTTTGGTAATCAATGCACATGGCGACAATACTGCACCATTTATGATTGAAAATCAATGGGAACCGTCCTTTGTCAGAAATTTGACTGATGAAGAAAAACTCAGTCGTAAATACCTTGTAAGTGCATTCAGCAAGCTCCGTATATATTATATTTAGTCCAACACGTCTGAAAAAATTTTTCTGTTTGGGTTCGAATACCCTCCAGATGAAAACGTCGTAAAAAAAATATTTTATTACGGACAGAGCCTTGAACGTTCTCTTTTAATCAACATAATTCGGTTGTTCGGCGATATAATCGAAAAAGAGCCAAACTTGCTTTTTATCGAAGAACCCTTGGTGATAGTCGGCGACTTGCATGGTCAGTTTTACGACTTACTCCACTTACTAGAAATAACCAACGATGTATCGCAAGATAATAAGTTTTTGTTTTTGGGCGACTATGTAGACCGTGGTTCTTTCAACATCGAAACTATCACGTTATTAATGATACTCAAAATAAAATACCCCAAATACGTTTGGATGCTTCGTGGCAACCATGAAAGTCGACAAATGACATCGTTTTTTAACTTCCGCGACGAATGTTTGTTTAAATACGATTTGCTCGTTTACAACATGTTTATCGAAGCTTTCAATAAATTGCCTCTAGCTGCTATAATAAATAGAACAATTTTTGCCGTACACGGAGGTATCAGTCCGTCAACATGTGATCGGATAACAATCCAAAAAATAAATCGTTTTGTCGAACCGCCCCATAGCGGGCTGTTTTGCGACTTGCTTTGGGCTGATCCCATTGACCAAACTAGACAGCGTACGTCTTTCAAAACCGAGAATTTCATTGTCAACAACGTTAGAGGTTGTAGTTATTTTTATGGTTTCAATGCAGTTCAAGAGTTTCTGCAGCAAAACAATTTTCTCTGCATTATTCGAGCTCACGAAGCCCAAGCTCTCGGATTTAAGCTCGGCAAAGAAAGCCCGGAAACAGACTTTCCCACTGTCATCACTATATTCAGCGCTCCCAACTACTGCGACGTGTATGCAAATAAAGCTGCATACATGACCATTCAGCAGAATTTGATAAACATACAGCAGTTCTGCGCTGTTCATCATCCGTTTGTCTTCCCTGACTATACTGAATTGTTTCCATGGATGGTTCCTAAGTTATTGTCGCTTTTGAACCACTTCATCAATGCTTTATTGTCGGTGCCAGACGTCAACATCGCCGATCTTGACAGTGCGACAAAGCAGCACTTAGAATCGTACAACGCTATGATTGTCTCAAACTCGAATAATGACCTTGTGTTTGAGTTTATGAATTCCAAAGTAGTGCTAAAGGAAAAACAAATTCGCAGTATTCTAATAAAAATCCAGGTAATAAGCAAATTTTTGTACATTTATGGAATATTAAAAACTCGAAAAAGCGACATCGCTCTAATAAAAGCTACTAACAACGGCGAACTACCCGCCAGTCTATTAACTCAGGGCAAACAACAACTTGATAATTGTAAGTTTAACGTCGAAAAATTTTCTATTAGATTTAAATAACATTTAATTAGTTTATCCAGTTAATCTCGCGCTATGATACTGACCATAATGATACTCTGCTCAAACCTATGCAGTCAGAGTTATTCGAGTTTTGTAATACAATAATAATTCTAAAAATTTTTCTACTATAAACTTACTTGTCAAAAATACCATATGACTTGATTTGCAGATATGCACCGTTCTGCTCATTGTAAACAATGTTTGCAAACTCGTTTAGTTTGCAGATCGAATCACGACATAACTTGTACCTAATGTGGGTTGGTTTGCACTTATCATATTGTTCGGAACTATGTAGAATCGGTAATATGTACAGTAGCAGAGGAGACGCCGAATAACTAAATTTTATTTCAAAACCTATGTATTTTGTCTCCAAGTAGTATTTATCAGATAGATTAGTTGGCGGATAATTTCGTAACAACAGTTTTGGGTTCTGTATGTTAAGCAGAGAAATCAGTTTCTGCGGTAAAATATAGTTGAACATCTTATTAAACAATACGAGTAAATTAAATCTCTTGCTAAGTTCTAGCTCTACTATGTTCGCTCCTGTATTGATGTCGGTAATGTTAGCTAAGCCTAGTGTTGCAGGTCCAAAAAATCTGAAAATCGATAATTGTTTATTCAAGTTCAGATTTACGTCGACCTTATCAAGGATCGAGCTTATATTTGGAATTAGATCAGTTGTGATGTAATCGCTCAATGTAGATTTGTTCAGTGTTTGAAGCATTTTTGTAAATTCGTCAACCAGGTCTTCGTTTACATCTTTTTTCTTGAGCTGAAACTCAGGTACGAAATAGTTAACCTCTGCCGGCGACTGCGATATTTCTTTAATATTGTTTGTTTCTTCAAGCACTTTTGGATTGAGTTTGTCGATCTTAGTAAAAGCTAACTCATTTCGCTCATTGAAAACATTATCAGTCACAAAAAAAGTTTCGGTATTTTCCGAATTAAAATTGCTTAATTTTAAAAAAGTCTCGCTAGTAATATTGGGCAACTGTGTTATTTTTTCGTTTTCTAATTTACCAGCATCGAAACCTGTTTTCAACGCATGTCCATCAAGGTTCATTCTAACTGGATTTTCTAAATATCTCAAAAAAAACTCACAAGAAGGACTAGTAAATTGTTCATGTTTACAAAACTCTACCATGTTGTCTAGTTCGTTTAAATTAATTTTGTTCGTCAAGGTTTCTTGGTAATAACGATCCTGACTCAGCAGGTGTAAATTGAACAGAATTTTCAGACGATCCACAGGCCACGTAAAAACAAAAACAGCCAGATAAACAACGAGAATCAAGGAAATCATGTTAATATTAAACAGCAAATTCATGAATTTAGGATTTTTTTTAGAGCTTTCATTTCGCGGTAAATAATCAGAGTAAAACGAGGGAACTTGCTGATCATTAAAATATTTTTGTCTCACGGAATGATGTAACCCTGAATACATCTTAGGAACCAAGTCTACGAAGCTACGATTTATAATACAAATATTTGTCACACACAGGCTCACGAAAAATTTATTAATAAATATTCGAAATTATCAGTTGACTTCTGCTTTAAAAAACAGCTATCACATTTAATTGAATAATGTCGCAATTATTTTTGGTCAAACTGGACAGAGAGGGACTTGTGCGTCGAAAATTACCTGTAACAAATTCTTTTATATACGTACCACTTTGAGCCCAGATCATCAACGTGCATAAGTTTTCGCAAACATACGTTAATTTAAGTGCGTAGATTTTTTTTCCCCTACACATAACAGTTCTTCTAGGTAAAACTCTACACGGTGTGTCCTGATTAACTGTAAGAACTGGTTCGAATGTCTCAAACGCTAAACCTCGAGGTACGCAATCAATAGTGTTTTTTGAAAAATTCTTGTTAAACTTTTGTACGTCGTCTTCTGTAATGCTATTTTCAAATGTGACAAGTGCTAGATATATTTTTTGTTTTTTTTCAATTTCATCATGAAATGCTTTTTTGAGTTTAGGAAACAATTTAAATCCAGAACCCAAAAAATTTAAATCGAAAATGTAAAGGTGTTTCTCTTCGTTCTCATTGAGTTCTTCAATAGCTCTATTAATAGGTGAAAAATCTAACGAAAAATAGTCTTTAACGGCAAGCAAAAACGGTCTACCGGTGCCGATCATACAGACATCAACATCTTCTCTTCCAGAAGGAATAATTTGAACGTTTTCGATGTTATTTTTCCTGAAGTAAAACTGAATGATTTCTTCAATGCTATTGATCGACCGGTCAAACCATTTAGTTTGCGCTAGAGTTCTCGAAAATTTACAGTACTTGGCTTTGAATACTTTAAAAGCTGTTTCTTTTGTGTACGAATAAATCAACGTAGGCGAGTTTTTGGAGCGGTTTACAAACAAGTTTAAACTGTTAGAGTAGTCTACATCATCTGAATTGAAATAATAAATGTTGTCGTCGTTTTCAAATGTGGCTGCGTTAACACATATTTTTTCTATGAAGTGTGAAATTAGGATTTTTCGTATCACACCAGAAAAATTTATTTGAGTCGAGAGCTGTTCGTTTAAAGCACAAAAATGTTTTTTTATGAAAGGATCTAAGTGAACAAAGAAAGCTATGTCTGTCAAATATATGCTAATATCTGGTTTTGAACAAATAAAACACTTTTGTTCTTCAGAACAAATAAAAATATTTAGGCAAAATGGGCAGCCGTTATTTGATTCAATATTTAAATCGTTGGCATTGGTTATTTGCTTGAGTTTGCAAAGGAAATTGCAAATTCTACATAGTTTACACTCGTTATAAATCATGTTTTGCTTTATTTCGCAGATTTTACCGGCCAATATACTCTCGCTTCTAAATATCGATATTAATTATTTATTTTTTCATAATAGTATTGAAATTTTTGAAATCGAAGAAAAAGCTTTTTTAGTGACGTCACTGCTGCAGGCGCAGAACAACCTATTTTGTATCCTCTTTCAACACATTGCTGCTGGTATTCTTTTTTGTTCGTGCTTTAGCTTATTTGGGCTTTAAGTTTTTGCTGCCCAAATGTTTTTCAGACGCATTGTATGTTTCTAAATCAGATTTCATTTCGTCTTCTAATGTTTTTAACTTTATTTTTTTTGTTTTTTGATCTTCAAGGTTTTCCTCATTTTTAATCTCAGCTTTGGTTTCCTGGGCTTCCAAATCGTTTTGATCTTGTTGAACTTGCAATCCTTCCTTCATGATTTCAGAATTCAGTTTGTCTTTCATATTCTCTTCGGCCTTTTCTTCAGCTTCAATTTTTTTTTCAATTTCGTTTTCTTTCTCTACAAAATTTTTTTTTTCAGCCTCTTCTAGTTTTTGCGTCCGTTCACGCGTTTTTAGCAGGTTGTTCTTGTCGTTGTTGAGAAAAGCCAACCCTTTTTCTTGGTTGTCGATTTTAAGTTTAGCAGTTTCATCATCATTCACATCAGTTGACGGACTAGTTTTATCGTCGTCCAAATTTTCTTTAGTAACGTTATTAATCGCTATTATTTCTGTTTTAGTTGGCAACGGCTTGCCCTTAGAGTCAATAATATTAGGATCGGTGTTTACGGGATCTATACAATTAACTAGTAGAAACCACAAAAAAAGGTGTTTGCTATTCATTTTGCTTATGATCAAATTATTATTTAAATTAAAAATAAATTTCTAATATTAACGAAAAATTTTCGCCACTGCTGCAAGCTTGTCAAATTCGCACTACAGAAGTATAAAATAGATTAATATTAAATAAATATTTTTCAGATAATAGCATGACTGCTAGCACTATGTCTTACTTGAGTTCAACTAGTCATAATAACTTTCGCTGGCGTTATATTGCGGAAATTGAAAATTATAACTGCATATACCAGAATTGTGTTATAATTTGCATAGCAAATTCTTTGTTTTTTGATAAACTGGAGATTTCGCTGTATGCAAAAATTCCCAACACGGAAGAGCTGCGAGATTTATATAACATAATTTACAACAAAATCGACATTGACCATCGTGACAACGAGTTTTTCGACAGGCTCGTCCCTAGCTTGAATTTATTAAATTTTTCTCAAATTTTGATTTTAGCGTACAACCTAAACCGTAGTCTGGCCAAATGCACTTCAAGTCCTTTGAATTTGAGAGCTCTAAAAATTTTTTCGAACCAAGTCAAGGACTGTGTTTGCTATTTACTGACGATTCGTTTGTTAATACTTAATTTGGACATAGAAAGACAAGAGTGGATGCATTTTGTAGGTGAAAAACTAATGGAGGCGATAATTATGTCGAGCATTGTGAGCTCTCAAATGAATAATAGGAATCTTATCATGGCTACAGAATTGTCAGCAAGTATATTGAAACAGTTTGAAAACCAAATCAAAAATTCTAATCTGGCGCTCTCTAATATAAATTTCACGTCAAAACATTTTTTCGTTTCCTTTCCAGGACTTTCCGTTTGTTCTGAGCCGCCACATCGTTGCCACTCATGTTTGTCAAGCATTGAAGAAAAATCCAAAAAAATATATGGATACACTTTCAAACAAGCGAGCGACACGAAAAAGCTAAAACTAACCATTGTTGAGTTTACCAGGTTCACTACAAACTTCGTGGTTTTAAATTCAGACGCAACTCAAATCGATCTCGTCGACGAACTCAGATACAAAATCACTTCCAGAGACAAAATTCTAAACAGACCTAAGTCCCGTTTGAGCAGGCTAAGCACGAAAAAAGACGCGTCAATCAATAATCTCATTTTAGACGCAAGAAGAAAATTAAAACCAGCCAATAACGTTATAAACATAGATTACTCACAGGTTACAAACAATTGAAAACTTTAGAAGCGTAACAACCTTTCGTTAATTTCTGAACTTTTCCATTAATTCAATATTATAAACTAATATTAAATTAATATATATTTAATTAATAATGATTTCATTATCATATTAAAGAAAGTGAATTGAAATAATTGTACGAATTGTTAACGATGCCAATATTTATTTATTGAAGGAAAGAAGGGCTGAATATAAAACGTGCATTTAACTAAAAATTTCTTGATACTTTCGAGATGTGAACGATGAAATCCACAAAAGAAAGCTATAGAACTCGGATATCACTACTCAAAAAAACACAAGCAGCACAGCTGAGGAAAAATAAAATTTCAACAGTAAGTACAATGAACTAATATATTTATTTAGCTTTTAAACAATATTTTAACTGTTTTATTGGAATCCGATAACGCCAGCTCAGAATGGACCCAACTTTCAAAAAAACATCTTTTAGACTCGGCTCTGGCTGTATTTAATATTCAGACTTGGCCTGATTTATACTGTCGAAAAATTCTTATTCACGACCCTTATTATGCGCAAAATTTTGCAGACTACAAAGATTGGTTGTTAACTGAGTATGGTAAACTGAAGCTTTTTAGTCATACGCATAACACGTTTATGCTGAGATCGCTGGTGACGTCCAACTTCAAAGAAGTTTATTTCGAGTTTAAAAACAGCGTTCTGTCTAACGTTGCGCTTTCATTCTTGGAACTATTGTGCAAAAACTTATTTATCGATGAAGATGTCTATAACACTTTGCTAACAACAATTGAAGATCAAGGTTTTCAGCAGTCCACGTTGACTTCTGAACTTGGAATTGGTTATATCAATCGAGATCACGGTAGTTCTATTGAAGAAAACGCTGGAATAATCAGTTTTCAATGCATAACCAACGACAGAACTATTTTTAGTCTGGAATGTTTGGCAAAATTAAAAGTAATTTTTAGTTGTCAGCTTCCCCGTATGCCGCGTGAATACATTACACGACTTGTTTTTGACAGAAATCACTATTGTTTCGCACTATCGAAAAGCGGTGTTGTTGTGGGTGGCATTTGTTTCAGACCTTTTTATGCAAGCAAATTTGCTGAAATTGTTTTTTTGGCAGTTACAAACACCGAGCAGGTGAAAGGATATGGTACTAGATTGATGAACCATACAAAGGAATATCTACGTCACAGAGGAATAAATTATTTCTTGACATATGCTGACAACTTTGCGTTGGGTTACTTTCGCAAACAAGGATTCTCAACGACCGTCACTTTAGCACGGTACTTATGGTTCGGACGAATTAAAGATTACGACGGCGGAACTTTAATGGAATGTGTATTAAACCCAGATATAAATTACCTGACAATTTCTAACACTTTCCAAAAAAAACGACTATACCTAGCTCGTTTGCATTTGATGACTCACGTGGTTCCAGTATTTTCTGGAAAATTGTTATGGGCTTGTTACACGTACTATCCGAAGAACGAACTCGGATTTATTTCTTTATTTTCACAGATCAAGGAGAAGTTATTATCCAGCCAAGAAAAACCTGCAGCAAACGCTTTGGAAGAAGAATCTTCTTCAGGAGCCCCTTCACAGTCTAAAAAAGTTAAGAACAAAACTATGCCTCCCACTCCTTTAGTCTCTGTGTCACGATTACCATGCTTTAACGAAATAAATTTAATTGAACATTCAGACCGCAAAAAACGAAATGCTTGCATTCCTTTGAACGAGCAAATTATTTCACTACTCGACACATTGGAGAAATATGAAAGTGCGTGGCCCTTTTTGAAACCTGTCAACGTTTCGGAAGCTCCTGACTACTTTGACTACATTAAACATCCTATGGATATCAGTTTAATGAGAGAAAACGCGCTTAAAGGAGTTTATAACACCAAAGATGAGTTCGGAGCCCATCTAAAGCTTATGTTTGATAATTGTAGGTTCTATAATCAAAAATCGTCAATGTATTACAAACTAGCGGATGACTCTGAGAATTTCATCATGCCGGTATTCGAAGAACTAGTAGATACTTAAAAATGAAACTATACTATTTTAATATTAAAAACATTATAATTTAAATTTATCTACATGATGTGCTTCATGATTAGCATTGTAAATAGTTTATTCATTTAACATAACTTTAATTAATATTTATAAATATGATGCTTTAGATTTTTATCCCATTAGATTTTGGCAATCAACGCAGCGCGGACGGCTGAGTTAAAAGAAGTGATGTCACAGTTTTCACAGAAGTGAGTTACGGTGAAGGTGCAAAAAGCTGGTTCTACTTCACGTTTTTCACAGATTCCATTATCTTGAGGACTTAAGCTGAATCCAATTGGACAAAGTAGCAATGGAGAAGTTCTGAGAATGCAATTTGGTCCGGAAGGAACAAAATTGTCAGGACAAATTGTAGCCGTTGGTGTTACAATAGCGCTTTCACATTTGCAGAGTTTGGAATCAAGACGATTTCTTGGGCAGATCAAAACTTCTTCAGGGCGGCTACATTGAGCAACGGGTCTGTGTATCTTTTTGGTGGCGCACTGACCCTCAAAGATAGATACAGGACATCTATTTTCTGGTAATACTTCGGTTTCAATGTAACATTTGTTGTTTCTTAATAAACCAATTGGGCAAACACGTTCAGCTGCTTGACTGATGATCTTAACAACTTGTTTGCGTTCTTTTTCAGTAACAAGTTTTTGAGGTTTGCCGGCAACAACAGCTGCGCCCGGAACTACTGGGATGGCGACACCATCTACAATTGGTGAATCGACAGTGACTTCCATGCCGGGATCGATTATATATTCATCTACAGCTTCAATAACAGGAACGGCTGAGCGTTTCCACTGGTAGTCTACTGGGAAAGTTGGTGCAACTTGGTAGACTGGTTGTTCCAATGGAACTTCAGGGATGATGGAAGTTACAGGGTAATAGTAATCATATTTGTAGTGGCTAAGACATTTCTCATCTTGACATTGTATAGCCGCGTCTTTTTCTTCTGCTTCAGTGGCTGGGTAGGTGTAGTAATCGAGGTTGTCTTGGACGAAAGTGTTTTCGTCTAGTCTTCTGAAGTTCTTGGAACTTTTATATCCAATGACTTCGTTCACACAACGGTCTTTAGCTAATAAGTAGTTAGGAGGACATATCAAATCAGCTGGAGCATAAGAGATTGATACGCAAATTCCGTTTTCCTTTCTGTGGCTTCCCTTGGGACAGAGTTCCACAGTTTGGACAAGTTCGTATGATTCACATTTTCCATCTGATCGAGGAATAGATCCTGGAGGACAGACAGAAATAGGGTCTGAGTACTGATATGTGAAGCATTTTCCATCGATAAGTTCTCCCTGAGGACAGAATTCAATTCGTGGTTGACTGGCGATACAATCAACTCCTCTTAAAATTGAACCTGGCAGACAGTCAATTCTGGATGGAGCAGTAATCATAGAGTAACAGTAGTCACCGTCCAAAAAAAATCCGGGTTTTGGACAGGAATAAACTGGAGAAGTGACTGATATAGGATGTGTTTGCTTAGCAAGCTTAACAATTGGTTTGCTGAGGTTGTCAATAAATGGGTTTGCAACGACTGCAGGGAAACCAACAGTTGCTGCCGGTAGTGGTCGGTACTTTCCGTGTTTTACTATTTTATGATCTACAACAGGCCCTTTTTTGCGATCTTTAATGATATATTCGGGCTCAGCAATGACTGGTGCAGGTACTACGGGCTCAGCAATGACTGGTGCAGGTACTACGGGCTCAGCAATGACTGGAGCGGGTACTAAAGGACTAGCAATGTACGATGCATATTTCTTGTTTTGAAGAACGTTCTCCTTAGCTATTACAGCTGTAACAAATAATGTTATCGCTCTCATATGAACTTTATAAAAATAATAAAAAACCTTGTGTGAGTTACATTGATCCGGTGATCTAGATAATTAAAAATACAAATTACATTTTTACACATGAAGTGCGAGCGAAAATCCTATATATTATTACTGTGAGTGTAATTTATATATAAAGCTGGATTTTCTTTTATTAACTTTCAAATGGATTCTTGAAAGATCTGATTGTTCGCACTGTATTACTTTGTTGAATTCGTCAAGCAATATTGCTCTAGAAGCTGCAGTCATATTTCTTCGTAACGAATCAAACTTGTCAACAAACTTACACAATTTTAGGCATAGATTGGTAGACAGCTGTTGTGTCTTGTTTGAAACTTCACTTATCTTGTCATTAACTAAAACTGCAAGTTGCTTTTGCTGCAGTTTTTTCTGTTCCCTGAGTTTTTTTAATTGATTATTGTAACTTTGAATTTCGTCAATCAGACTAGTAAATTTTTTGAAATCTTTAATGTCAGAAAACGCTTTTCTTAATTTTTCCTGTTTATTTACGTTCTGACGAAGTGCTATTTCTATTTTTCTTAGTTTAGTCTTGAGTTTTCTGGGTTTTTTCATTATTTTCGAAAAATTTAAATTTGATTCATCGGGAATAACGTATAACGGCTTCTCAAAAAGTTTGTTTGTAGAAGTTATGGGTGTATTATATTTTTCTAAGAATTCGTTTAGATCTTTTTTTTTTTTGCTATTATGAATAATGTTAGCTTCGTCGATCAAATCTTGCACTAAAATGGCTTTATCAGGGTTAATAGAAGTTAAATCAGAAGGAATATTTTTAGTTTTTTTACTAGAATCTTGCGAATTTTCATCTGAGATCCTATTAGTCCAAATATCAATTGGAAAGGTTTTTTTCTTCAATATATTAAGTTTTTTTTCATTGATGGTTTTTTGATAACTTTTGGCCTTTTCGAGTTCTTTTTGGCTAATAGTGATTTTTTTTACATAATCGTTTACTAATTTGCCGGTAGCCTTGTTTTGTTCAGGCTCATGAGTTACTTTAAAAGCTTCGTTTGTATTATCTGCAATTTCTTTTTTTATACTTTCATTTATTATGTTGTCGACCAGAGATTCTGCTAGTTTACGAGCTTCATTTCTTTTTGATTTAGTCATGGAAAAACACAAAAAAATTTCTTTTTTAAGTTTTAAAAAGTTTAATTATAGTAGTTTTATTTCTGAGTTCTTATAATAAAGCTTTTATTTAAATTTCGTACAATTATTAATTAGATAAGAGGTAATTATGGTTCTAGATCCTGTTATGTAAACTTGTTTTCGATTTAACGTTTTTTTTTAAATAATTTAGTACTTGTGATATTTGACATTTTTTTGTATATTTTGTTATCGTATACGTTATTGTTATAACTATCGTCATCTTCTAACACTCCAAGCATGAAAATCTTATCGTCTAGCTTATTTTCATAGTTCTTGATTGTTCTGGTTTGAGAAGGGTCGTATTTATTACGGAGGAATTCGTCAGAAACGTTTTTTAACACATGCTCTGGAACGGTAAAGTTTTGTGTTGTTTTTAAATTTTTCGAAATATTTCTGAATTTAGATTTTATTGACATAGGTAGTGGAACTGTATCTACTATGTACGCGACGCCCATGGGTGTGTAAAACGGTTTACTATTTTCTATTTGAATTTCGTTATTTATTAGTATTTCGTTTAAAGGTCCTACGTCAAGCGTCATTTCGCTTGTTTCTACCGTTTCAAAAGCGTATGAACCTGGCTGTAAGTGATAAAAACTGATAACTTGAGGAAATATTAGATAGTTGATGAGAGTGACCAAATCGTCATATTCGAGTTGATCTATGTCATATTTCTGAGCTAGAAGCTTGTTAAACGCATCGTTACTCGGAAGCAAAATTGTGAAATCTCTTGATTGGTTTAATTTGAAGGTGAATTCGGTTTTTTCTAAATATTTGTGAATTGTAGATAGATTCTATAAATAATTTTTAGAATTGCTTGAAAAATCGAGCAAAATAAAGAACTTACAGGATGATCTATTAAAATATTGTTGAGCGTTCTATATTCATTCAGCTCTACTATTTTGCTCAGAGCTGTCAAAAAAATATATATAAAGAATAACATTTTAAAAATTAGTTTATTCAAAATTGAATGGTGAAAAATTTTGGAAATATTTTCAGTTGAAGAACTAGTTTTCGATTGAAATGGTCAAGTGAAATCACTTTATGCAAAGATTAATTCAATTATTTACAAAGTGGCTTAAAATATGTGGAGACATCAAATGGGCGCAGTATATTTTTACAATTCGATATAGATTGTTTACGAATATACCAACTATTTCGTTAAAAAACGTTCCGGTTCCAAAATTTTTGTTCTACTTATTGGATTTGCCTTTTAGTATATTTAATTCAAACATAAATACGTTGAGCATATCATTTAAATGGAGTTCTTTACTATTACTGTCTTATTCTCCGTTTATTGTGAAGGTCGAAAACGTTGTTATTAATTCAAGACTACTTTATCCCACCGAGTTTGATTTTTATCCGTACTTATGTTCTTTTTTAAAAGCTGATAAACGACTTTTGTACCGTTGGAAGGCGGTTTTTTTTGGAAAAACTCTGAAACCCACATTGAACATAATTATCTCTAATATTCTACGCGTTCACATTAACAAAATCACACTGAGAATATTTGACGACAATATTTGCAATTACCCGGTGGCTTTGGAGCTTACTTGCCAAGAAATCTATTTAAAACCCCCTGAAATTAGTTCGTTAGACGAGCAACAAAAAAAATTTTACAACCTGAACTATTTTAAATATATGATTATCGAACTTGCTGGTTTCAATGTTTTTTTACATAGACTTCCAAACAAAACGAATATAAACAAAAAACTCTTATGGAAATATTTGATTGAGCCTAGCAATGAGTCGAGACCTTTGTATTCAAAATTGCTCAATTATTGCAGTCCTATATGGTTGCAACGTTTAGAGTTGTATAAAAAAACTTCTCAAGGTGAAAACACTACTAAAGTTTCTCCAGAGTTCGTTGAAGATCAGTTTAAATATCTTCAATCCATCAGCCTCAATACATTATATGATGCGGTAGATTCAATGAACGTTGTTGCTTCAAAAAAATCAGAACTAGTTATAAAGTACAACAAATGGGATTTG